CAAAAAGCATCCTGTAACTGTGCAAAGATCCAACAATCTCATCTTCTCAAAGCATGAGTATAAATTCCCTCAAAGGACTTACTTTCCAATTAACGGAGAAAATGTTTACAGCAAGTTTCAGATCTTACTACTGGTTTTGTTACTCTGTCTTCACAGCATCAGATGTAAAATCCATCAAGAACAGCAAAATAAAGTTTGCAAAAAAAATTTCCAAATAAGACTTGGACTTGGATTCCCATTCCAAAAAAGAAAAGTATCTTACATAATAATTTTTCATTACCTAAATCTGTGCCTTTAGTTGTACAGTATTCTTTCAAAATGGTTCCAGTACTTGCGAAAGTTTTCGTCTCTGAAAACTCTACCTTAAAACTGTCAACTGCACACCACAAAACTAAAGCTTACAGAAACCCTTTCAAAGCAAACAATCACTAAATATAGAAATGTATTTATCTTACACCTATAAATCATGCAATTATTTGGAAAATACTTTTAACGTGAGTATTTGTAATTAAAATGTACAGAGCTTAGATCTGCTTAACTTCAGTGCATGCTGTGACATCCCACTTTTCTTTCCCTTATATTTTGAGGATAGGGGGGATTAAGGGCTTGTGAAAAACAGGTTATTTGGATTACCACTTGATCACATCACTTTTGGGAATATTCATGTGGGCAGGATATTATTATAGTGTTGAATTTCAATATTACTGTGCATTTTAAGTTCTGTAAAATCACTTCGAGCTTTAGCTAAGTAATTTAAACTGATCAAAATACATAAATTACTCTAGCAATTTAAAATCAGAGTAAGATTTTAAAACCAGGAAAAAAGAAAATGCTAGCAAAGCAGTAATTCAGCAATAGCATAGCGGATGCTCACTTCTGAGTAGGAAATAGCTGAAGAATGGAGTTAAACATGCCACTAAGCCTTCTATGAAACAAGAAAGTAAAAAAATAAAAGTTAATCAGTAGCTATAAAAATCTTTCCATGAGCAGTGAATCAATTTGCTTAATGAGAATTATGTTGAAAATCATAAAACATTGCATCTTTTCTGTTCAGATTTGCACTATGTAAGAAGTCAAACCTGTCACACATTTATCTGTCAAAACTAAGTCTTTACTACTAGTAGCGCAGCATTAGATAGCTAAATGCTGATAAAAACTACTCAAAGTTTCTAACCAAATTTAATACTAGAAAAAAAAAACAAACCTGACAATATTTTGGGTGTACAACCTGGTTTCCAAAAGGCATTTAAATTTAGAAGGCATGACCCCTTCTTACAAACCCTGCCCCCCCAACATCCTTATGTGATATTTTTATATTACAGCTGGAATGACATACCATAAAATATGCAATGTATGAAACTGAGCAACATGATCCAGGCTGCCAGTAGAGAAGTTGTTTATGCAATCCTGTGCTGAATGCACTCAGGAAAAGTTAAGAGTTAAAAATTCACACAACAGGTAGCTTCATCAGCTAGTTTGAAAGATCAAGAAAGGCTAACTCAAAAAAAACCCGTTTGTAACCACTGGAAAACATCCCGATTCTTTCCTGTTGGAAATTGCTTATCCTTATTGTGGAAAATGAGAGGAGCTTCTCTGTTCATTGAAGAGATTTTAATAGATTTTAACTGACAATACACTTCAAAAATAACTCCATTCTTTCCGTATCTCTATGAATGAGATACTCCCACTCCTAGACAGGAGAACCAGGCACACAGAGGTTCACTGATTGCAGGACACCCTGCACTCTTGATACTAAAGACTGGTCCCCATGGATCAGTTTGTTCAGAAATATGTATTACTACCGGTTTGTAAAAAGCTCTGAGTGGGCAAGCACAGGCAAGATGAGGAATTTGAACCTATCCGAACTGCAGGTAAACCTCATGGTTTTACTGCATTGCCCTGTGAATCAATAATTTTCAAGATCCTGTCTTATTTTAACCACTAATGCTCTTCAACTCTCCATCTTTGCCAGACACTTTTCTCCACGTCTCAGAACATTTAAATTCAGAGAGTTCTAATGTGTTGTGTTATGACTGACTATTTCACACTATTGTTTCCACTATTCATTCAAAGTTTGAAGGAAGTTATTTTTTATGTCCTTTGAAGCTGTTATTTTAAGCCAAGTTGACAGTGTTCATAATATTTCAAACACACTGACAGATCATTCTGCTAATGTGCACTGTAAATGCACATGTACATGAACCTTAAAGAAAAAACATACACTGACAAAATAACACACGTGAGAAAATAACACAGATTTATGACAAAACAAAAAAATCCTCTGAGGCAGGTGATTATAATGGATCATGATCCTGCTGAGGAAGTTTGGAGAAAGGCAAGGCAGAGCAGGAATGCATTTGGCTAACTTCAGCATTAACAAGTTACCAATGACAGTGTCATGAAGAAGAAAAAAAATCTTCCTCCAAAAGTTCCAAAAGTGTTTTTACTCTCACTACATACAGCTGGGAGATTTGGAATCACACCAAAAAAACAGTGGAAGTAGAAAACTGAATGAAACATTCATGGTGTGCATTACCAGTCAGAACTAAAGAAGCGAAATGATCACACACCAAAATCACTTCCTATACACAACAAGATAATTTAAGAAAAAAAAGCAGATACTGAGATGGTTCTAAAGTGACTTGGAAAAAAACAACTAACCAATGAAATTAACTCACAAAAACCAGCTACTTTGACTTCAGCAGGACTGATAAAACATGTTGTAGAAAATACCTTGTCTTTCTCTAAATAACAATAATAAAAAAATCAAAAATTATTTAATTACACCATTCTAGACCAAGTTCTATACTACAGAGCAGTGTACAACACAAGTGATGTGACTGTGGGGATGGGGATGCCACCACACAACAGGTTAATTTTTAATTTGTTTGCCTTTGATAAACACATCGGTAGGATTCCTGTAGTCAGGTGTAGCAAGTAATGCATGAAAGAGAGAATAACAAATCTATACCAGCATCAGAAATTCTGACTAGAGTGGTAAGGGAGATTTGTGGGAGCTTCATCAGATGGCTTCTGTCACCTCGTAAAGTGGTATTGTGGTGGCTTCCCACCAGCACTGCACCACTGTGCCTGCCTCTAATGAGCACCCCTTTTGCTCGAGGAAAGGGCATCATCATACTCTCTTTCTTGTTGGGGTATTCACTTCTGCCCTTGGAACTGCTGCTTGGCATTTCAATATAAGAAGAGGCAATGGGCAGAAGCTGATGCACAGGAAGTTCCACCTTAACATAAGGAAGAACTTCTTTACTGTGGGGGTGACTGGGCACTGGAACAGGTTGCCCAGAGAGGTTGTGGAGTTTCTCTCACTGGAAATATTCAAAACCCATCTGGATGCAATCCTGTGCAATGTGCTCTGTGCTTGTAATGTGCTTGAGCAGGGAGATTGGACCAGATGACCCACTGTGGTCCCTTCCAACCTCATCCACTCTGTGATTCTGTGCTACATTCACAAGCCTTCTCCCGTGGGAAAGCAGGGGCTTTACATTTTCAGTGAAGAAAAGAGAAACTTCCCTCTTTTTAAAGTAGGCTCTGTGTTTGACAGCAGTTTGTACTTGACTCAAAAATAAGTGCATCTAAAAACCTTTACAGACATCAGAATAACAGGCACTATGGATGTGTACGTCATGTGAGCCATAATATCTCGACAGAACATCTTCCCAGATTTAGTTTGTTGTGTTACTGTCACATGCAGGAACAGTGGGACAGGCACGCAAGATCAGGGTAGAATGTCATTTATATTTTTGCATAAAGGCAAGACCAAATTCAGTCAGTCACAACAAGCCTTTATTGGGTCAACCCTGTCGTGACAGTATGGTCAAATAAGCTACAGCTTTAAAAATCTTCCTGAATCTTTCCTTCTTCCTGCTGCATATGGACCAAACCCATAGTTTAAAACAATGATGCCAGAATCATTCCTAACTGATCAAATATAAGAAAATATAGCAACTATTTTCTGTTTTCAGACATCCACCAGTGATTTTCGTTACCAGCTCAAGAGAGCCTTCTCAAGCTAAACACTAATGCTCTTGTAATTTTGACTTGAAACACAGTTGCACTGCAGCACAGCAAAGTCTGTATATATGGCTCTACACTTGTTTCAACTAAGCCAAACGAGATTTACTGAAAGGGAATTAAAAACTTTCTGTTCAAAAATCAGAAGCTAATACTTCTACTACATATTTCTTCAGGCAGCTTACCCCTCACATCTCAATCCTCCACAGCTTTACCTTTTTTCCTGTGTCACATATCATTTCATAGCACCAGAACTGCACCAGTTTGTAATGACTTAACATTTTCTTGTTTGCCTTTGCCAGCGTCTCTGTATACTGTCAGGCCAGTAAGTGCTTTCATCATTCCACTGCAGGAGTCAGTCTCATCCTCTTCTTTTTAATTGTTAAGTTGAACACATGTTCCTTTTGAAAAATTTTTTCTTATCCCTTCCCCGTTCCCAAGCGTAAGACAAAGGCTTTTTCTAACTATTTGATCAAGATGAGTTTTGGAACACCTGATTTTAGCTATACACAGGGATTCCCATGGAACACCAGCAGGTTTAGATAACAATACCACTAAAAATCCAATTTACACTGCTCCTTTACCCAAAAATCTTGCACATTTCTTAATGATACCAACAAAGGCGAAGACAAAAATTCTTTAGACTTTAAAAATTCAAATCCAAGGACACCACCAACTTAATTTCCACTAGGAAATCACTACAGTCTTTCATTGCTATACAAGGGTCACCCACTGGTGCATAAGACGCACAGGATATATCTTTAAATTACTCATAATCACCTTAAACTGCACTCAATCAGTATTGCAATATGTCATCTTACAGCCACAGAAAAGTTCAAAAGGAAAACCACATGAAAAAGCAGACTACCAAGAGCACTATTGTTAAAACTACACCAGAAAGCTTAATATTTCAATACTGTATATGTTAAAATAAACAACATACACAGGTGATGAAAGCCAGTCTCTGAAAAATTTATTATTCTGTTAGAACAAGTTTACACTTAGGATGAATTCTCAAGCTTCATGCCATTAGGAAGTTTTACTGGGTTTATACTGGAAATAAAAACAGAAATAAAAATAGATGACAATCCCAAAATACAGGCTGTACTTTGAGAATGATCAACAGACTTTCTTTTCCTTTTAAATCTATACATTTCCTCCTGCCTCCAGCAACAGACCTTTTTCAATCTTCATGAAAAGTTCCCTAAATTGTCTATTTTCCCTTTTAAAATCAAATGTTTTGAAAGATGATGTTGAACAGACTAACATAACCTGTACTAGTTCAGTATTACTTCCCCCAAGTCATCCTACTGGAATTGTACAGCTTTCAGAGATTTATGATGTCAGTTTCATTCAAAGGATCCTGCCCTTCCCGCCCCATTTCCTCTGTAATCTCTAAAAAATTGACCTAATTCTCATTCTCTCATACTATGTACACTATTGGTACTTATCCCACTCTTTTCACTTCCTTGGGTAAGATGTGCATAAAGAGAGGATATGGAGGATTTACTAAGAAGATTAATTTTGGAAGCAGTAAAGCTTAGCCTGGTGAATTTGCACTTGACATTGTAAAATTAAACTCTTGGAACTGGACTGGTTTGTAAACTATTCTACACAAAGCAACAGCGAGCACTGATTGCTCTAAGCTTCAAATTATAAAGTAGTAGCAAGAATTCTATATATTCTTTGTCACTTGAAGTCTTTACTGAAAATTCAAATTTGAGTTCAATATGAACAGAAATATTTAATAATTTTGAAATAGTTTCCATTCTGACTGTTTCTGAGTCATTTTCATGCGTTTACATGAATTGTTCAAATTTGCCTCAATGTTAATTTTTACACATTGGACAATATGAAAATATTTGCCATTTAATGTGCAGCACTGGCCTTATCCTCACCTGCTTAGGTGCTATTCTCCTCTACTATACGGATTAATAACTGATTTCAGTATAAAGTTTTAAGAGTTACTTCTTAATGTATTCAATATCTCAAATAAATTACGTAATAACCAACAAGTAATTACAGTTTTTCTCACACACTGCACCTTAAATGAATAATATTCTAAATACAGGTATCTGGCCAAACTTTTTTTTTTTTTCAAACAGACTGTCAGGAGTATTCTCAGTGTTTTAAACTGAATGGCAGCAGCACACTGAATGATCAGTTGTAGAAAGGCAGAAACAATATTAAGTTATGCCTACGAGTTATTTAGTTTTCAGGGCAGAGGGGGAAGGAGAGCAAGGGAAATAAAATAAAAGATAAATTACCAGAATTGATTTTATCAGCTTCAACATTTAGCACCTGATATATTAGAAACACATAAGTCAAATACTTGACTTACACTCATATTCCTATCCCAGATCTGGATAGAGCCATCTTGACAGCCAGCTGCAATAAGTTTACCATCTCTGCTGTATGTGCAAGTTGTAGGAATCACCCGTTTCCCTTGAGCTGATCGAGGCTTAAATACACTTTTGTGCTTTTTTTCATTGTTAACATCCCATGTCCTCACAGTTCTGGAAAAAAGAGTTTAAATAAACAGTTGGTTTAGATAAAGTTGATACATATGAAATAACTCTTTTTGTGACATAACCAAACCCATTTTCCAGCATAGATGGTATATAACATTGTTCCAATTAAGTTATAATGGCAAAAAAATGATGACAATTTTCCAAGTAAGAAACATCGTATTCACTAAAATGAGTCTGAAGGTTAAAAATAAACATTCAAAAAAACTAAGACAGTTTTTCCCAAAATTTCATGTAAATACATAACTCATTTACAATTGGAAAGATAACAAATGGTTAATACACAGGTACTACATAGTCTCCACTGTCACTGGAAATCAAGAAGATGAAAGTATTCAGTCCTTTGCAAAGAACGAATACTTCAGGAAACAGGAACAAATGCATTAATGGAACAGATTTTCTTTATTATTCTCACTTGACAACAACTGAAAATTCTCCTTTTAACTTATCGGTTATTCTTCAGACTTTTTTTTTAAAAGGTATTTTGAACATTAATTGCAATATTATTTATTATAGTTCTCTTCCACTAATCCTGAAGGTCTTAGCATTCTATTATAAAAGTGTTCTTCAGATACTTTACCAAGACTCATTTATGTAATACTACTTTTTCGAGTTAAGTTTTTCCCACATTATTAGCAAAATAAATACATCCTTTCTATTTTTAATGGAAAAAGAGTATCTGCCTGGATATTCACTGTTCCTTAGATACACAAAAACATCCAAATGGGAGAGAACTAAAACTCTGAGATACAGGTGGACCCTTTAAATTGTCTCAGATACAAATGTTTTCTGTCCATTTAATACGTTGAGGTCTTTCCAGATAAAAATTCAAAACTCTTCTGGCATCTAATGCAGAGAAGAGTTTCAGGATTTGGCAAAGGAAGGAAGATCATTTATTTAGAAAGAAAAAAACTCAAAGTTCTCAAGACAACCTCATTTGTTTAGACTATACAAACATTGCCTATGATCCAACAGCACATAATTCACTGGTCTCTAGCAAAGCAAATACAACTCTAACAAAGGCTGCCATTTCTCCAGACTGAGACAAGACAACACAGCGTAACATTAGGAACTTCCATCAGAGCTACAAGACCAGACAGGCCACAGAGCTGACATTTATATAACTCCAGAATAAAACAGACAAGAAAATGAGCTGGAAAGAGCTCATAGAAGTTACATTTAGTTGCACATTTAATGACAGTAATGAGAAATCAGTAACTAAGTTAGAATGAATCCAGTTGTCCCTAATAAAGTCAAGGTTAGTTTCAGTTTTAAAAGTCTTCAAATCTTGTATCTGTAAGGCATCCGTTAATCATTCTACTTGGAGCCCTACCATAAGACATCTAAGCGTTCTGATGACTGGTTTGGGTTTGAGATTTTGGAGGTTTTATTGGGGTTTGGACTTTTTAAAATTATTTTTATTTAAAATTAAACAGATTACTATTATGATTAGGTCAATTAGAGGATCTTCAGAGGTTTTTTCCATCTTCAATCGCTATGTGATTCTAAGATTCCCTTCTACCTCTCAATGTGTTGTCAATAACCATCTGAGTTTCCTACCTTTCAGCAGGTACATCAACACTTTCTCCCACTGTGGTATTTGCTCAAAAGTTGAGTCTTTTCCCATTCCCTTTCCCTCATAATATCATAGAATCACGGAATATGCTGAGTTGGAAGGGACCCACAAGGATCACTGAGTCCTACTCCTGGCCCTGCACAGGACACCCCCAAGAGTCACACCACCTGCCTGAGAGTATCATCCAAACACTTCTTGGACTCTGTCAGGCTTGGTGCTATGACCACTTCCCTGGGGGGCCTGTTCCTGTACCCAACCACCCTCTGGGGGAAGAACCTTTTCCTGATATTCAACCTAAATTTCCACTGACACAACTTCAGGCCATTCCTTTGGGTCCTGTCACTGGTCACCACAGAGAAGAGACCACTGCCTGCCCTTCTGCTTCCCCTCACGAGGAAGTTGTAGGCTGCTTCAATCCTTCCAAAATCTCATTTGAATAACCTATACCTTCAGCCTGTCTTCTTCCTTCAGTGATGATCACCTCCTACTGAAAAGCTACATCCTCTCTTACAGTGCAAGTTTCCAAGGACAGCCTTGGTATTCCCCTTCTTAGATGGTAACATGATTACATGCAATGAACTTTTAAAGCCTGCCTTCCCCTCCCTATCTGCCCTTCATCTCAGATGCCTCACAACCATCTCAGATGTAATTCCAAAAACAATCTCTCAAGCATCATTTATCATCTTAATTCTTTATTTCTGCTGGTATGGAAAGACTTTTTTAAAACCTTAAGTTGCCTCTTTTTAGGGCTCAACATCCTGCCAAAACCTCAACAGTTCTGCAACGCTACAGAGCATATTCAAACTTTCTTATCATTTTACCTTTCCACTGTAAAGGAAGAAGTACTTGTATACTCTTACTCCCTGCAACACACATTAAAAAAATATGAGCCCTAAATCAAGTGTAATATCAGTAGGTCAGCTGAAAAATCTAAGTTTCTTGAACTGCTGCTTCCGCTGCAGACAGTTGGCCACATTCCCACACATATGAGTTACATGCCCTGTCAAAAATGCCCACACAGCCTACAGTACTTGCTTAACGTTCCCTCACTGTTTTCTTAACATCCCCACACTGAGTGTGGGTTTACTGCTGCCTTACTGCTACTGGATCTAATGAGAAAATTTTTCTACTAAAATAAAATAAATATTTTATAAGAAGTCATCTATATATTAGTCAGAAATTTGTCAATCATACCTAAAGAGCCCTTGACTGTTGAGCTAAGACTGAACTCTTTAACGTATTCTTTATGGAAATATTTCCTATTTTTATTTTAAAATGCACATCATATTGCAAACACATCTCATAATACCATGGGCAAAATTTCAGCTTAGCACTGTTTCAGACGGAATCACCACCATCCGAAACATCAAGAGTCGTCTGTAAACTATGTATGTTTAATATTTTCCTTCAGACCAGCGATGGACTAGAAACAGGGACTGCTGAAGAACCTCAAGGACATACCTTCACTGGAAATGAGAGGACATAGCCTTAAACTGTACCAGGAGATGTTTAGGTTGGACATTAGGAAGAATTTCTTTACAGAAAGGGTTATTAGATATTGAAATGGGCTGCCTGTGGAGGTGGTGGAGCCACTGTTCCTGGAGGCGTTCAAGGGATGACTGGACACGGCACTTGGTGCCAGCCATGGTCTGGTTGACACAGTGGTGTTCAGTGCACAAGTTGGACTCGATCTCACAGGTCTTTTCCAACGTAATTGATGCTGTGATACCCCATTCTAAGGGCCTTCATCACATAGTCTGACACACGTTAATCTGCTCTGACACTCCTTTCACCCTTCATGCTCCCTCAATATCCATCTGAGCATTATGTCTCTTCTTTCAGCAGGCACTTTGATGCTTTTCTCTGTCTATAATTTATACTTGGAACTTACTTCACAGAATATTCTGAGTTGGAAGGGACCCACAAGGATCACTGAGTCCAACTCTTTAGTGAATGGCGCATACGGAGTTCAAACCCACAACCTTGGTGTTACCACGCCTTCTTCCAGGTCCTTTCCCTTATGGTGTTTAATTTCTCTGCCATCGAAGGGGACTTGAACAAACTTGGGAAGTGGCCCCATGTGAATCTCATGAAGTTCAACAAGCCTAAGCACAAGGTCCTACACCTGGGTTGGGTCAATCCCAGATATGAGAAGAACTCACTGAGAGCAGTCCTGACAAGAAGGACTTGGGGATTCTCATGAATGAAAAGCTGGGCATGACTCAGCAATGTGTGCTTGCAGCCCAGAAAGCCAAACATGTCCTGAGCTGCATCCAAAAAAGGATGTTGGCAGCAGGTCGAGGGATACGATTCTGCCCCTCTACTCCACTTTCATAAGACTCAAATTGGAGTGCTGCATCCAGCTCTGGGATTCCCAGCATACGAGGGACATGAACCTGCCAGAGCAGGTCCAGAGGAGGCAGTGAAGATGATCAGGGGGCTGGAGCACCTCTGCTATGAGTAAAGGCTAGAGTGTTAGAGTTGTTCAAACAGGAGAAGGCTGCAGGAAGACCTTAGAGTGCCTTCCAGTACTAAAAGGGGGCTTATAAAAAAGAGGGAAAGTGATTTTTACACAATCAGACAGTGATAGAGCAAGGGACAGCAGTTTTAAACTAGAAGAAGAAAAATTTAACTTAGATATTAAGAACAAATTCTTTACTGTGAGGGTGGTGAGGCACTGGCACAGGTTACTCAGAGGAGTTGTGGATGCCATATCCCTGGAGGTCTTCAAGGCCAAGCTGGACAAGGCTCTGAGCAGCCTGATCTAGTTGGTGGCATCCCCGCCCTTGGCAGGAGGAGGGAGGAGGTTGGAATTAGATGATCTTTAAAGTCTCTTCCAACCCAAATCATTCTGTGATACTATGATTAATACTTAACTCCCCCCATTCTAGACAGAAGGAAAAGGGATAAAAAGGAAAAGAAGCATAGAAACCTGAATAATTTACTTTCAGGAAATATTGCCTTTAAACTGGCAATATTGCAAAACTACTCTAAGACTGCTTCTGTATATTCTCTTCACTTCTGCTACTGAGTCTCAGTCACCATACCACATGACCATCAACTGAGAGTACAATTTGGAATTAAAAAGCCTCTGGGTTTTTTCCAGAATATTTTATACCATTTAATGATTCTTCCTCCTCCTCCTCATACATAATGAAAAAATAAATGAGTTTGTGTTACAAAAGTTCCATTTTCACCTCTTAAGCTCTCTGGGTCCAGTATGTTGTTTGTGTTGAAACGAGTAAAAAAATTTTACCCCTGCCTCAATCAGATTATTTCCAGGACACTCATTTTGGTCAAAAAACCCCTCTCACTAAGAGTATCTCCTCCAGCCTAAAAAAGAGTGGGATGAAACAATAACACTGTTTTATGCTCTATGTTGCACCATTTAGTAGAAGTTTATTTATACTAA